TCAGTCCCATTAGGCAGAAGGGGAAAGTGAGGCTCAAACAAGAGGCATGATGGGGAAAATCTCAGACACCAGAATCTGGGGGTCTGGTTTTTAAGCCCCCCTTTCCTACCAGTTCACTGTGCTCTTAGGGGAAGCCCAACACTCCCGGGCCTGTTTCCATCTGCCTGCTTTGTGAGATTTGTGTGACTTTACTTTTGTGGGGCTAGGGACAAGTCTGATTCACTCCCATGTGCCAGCTGGCTCAGAACTCCCGAGAGAGAGGGGATATTATTCCTTTACTAGAGGCCCAGTGCATGAAGTTCACGCACTAGGGAGATGTCCCTGTGCCCTCTCGCAGTCTGGGAGCCCTCGGGGGATGCCTGACTGACAGCTTTAGTGGGACATCCTTAGTGCTGTCATGAGCCAGGCTTCTGGCTGAGTGGCGTTCCCCCTGTGGGAGCGCAGAGACCACCAGGGGGCAGCTCCTGCATTGAGTGTCTGTCTCTAGTGGCCAGTGTGTATCATAGCAACCAGTTGTTTGGCTGTTCGGTCAATTTGCATATTAGCCTTTTATTACATAGAAGGTTAGAGCAGGGACTGAGGTCTAGAGGGGACACCAGGAGGCTACACAGCAAAAACAAAGGTCTGACCCCTGCATCCCTCCACTGCAGATCCATTAGAGATGATCTCCATGGATCAGCTGGTCTGCTTTCTGCTTTATATTTCTACCCGCTGGCTGATTTCTAAGCCCCTCTGCAAACACCTTCACCTCTCTGTGTCAGAGCAGTAATGATGGGACTTCCTCTGGGCAAGTCACTCCAGTTCCCTCCTCCTGAAAGCAGGGCTGAGGAAAAGCTGCAGAGGCGAGGAGAGGAATCCTGAGAGCAGTTTTTGGGCAGAGGAGAGAGTATCTGGGTAGCAAAGTGCCTGTTCCCTCCACAGCCCCCGCCTGGCTCCTGCCCACCACTCATAGCCACATGGGCCCAGCCCAAAGCTATTGATTTTAAAAGAGAAGCTGGGGGTGGGGGTGGGGAGAGGAACTGGAAATTTGAATTTTGATGTGAAGTCTCCTGATTTTTACATGTTGGCAATAAACTCATAGAAACAACAAAACAAAGCAAAACACCGGGGGGGGGGGGGCAAACTGCACTGGTCTCTGGCCACCAGCTGCCTGTTTGAGACCCTTCCCCGTCCAGGTCCAGGTTGCTGCAAACACCTACGCAGGAAAGGTCACCGTGGGTGGCGCCAGCTGGATCCGGTTTCTGTGCTCTCGCTGCCTACAGGGCCGGTGGGCGTGCCCAGGACCTCTGGGCCATCACAGTTCAGCTCCCATCAGCCCCCCCTCGGGAAAGGCTGAGTCCTGATGGGGAGGCAGCAGGCAGGGCCTGTTGAGCAACCAGCCTTGTGACAAGGGCTTACGTCACCTGAGGAGGCACACGGCCTCCCCGCGGGACACCTGGGGTGGCACTGAGGTGCACCTGGCATGGATTTTACTTTCAGGCCAGATTGGGGAATCCAGGGCAGGGCAGGGTGGAAAGCAAAAGGCTCCATCTTTGGGGAGCACAGGCCCATCCCAGAGGCCAGAAGGGCAAGACCTGGTGGGGCCAGTCCCTAGGGTCTGGGCTGCCTCTGGACCAACCGCGTGACCTCATGTCAGCCTTCTCTGGACCTCAGTTTTTCTACTCAGAAAATGGGGTTCACATCGCCAGACATGTTACTATTTATTATAACCCAAAGGGGAAGGTCAGGCTGGAAAGACTTTAATTCTTCTTCCCTTCTCCTGTTGGGCCTCAGTTTCTTCATGTGTAAAGTGGCTGTAACAATAGGGCCTGGTCCCTTTTCTACCAGTTCACTGATTTAATCAGGAGGAATAAGTGAGTTCATACATGCCAAGGGCTTAACATGTGGTTCAGAGAGGGTAGAAGAGTTGACCTGAGGATACACAGGAAATCCTCGTTAGCTTTAGATGGCCCCCAACCCCCAGGTCCCATCGAATCTCCCCAGGACCCCGAGAGTTAGGAGGAGAGTGCTGTGGCTCAGAGAGGGGCCACACGGCCCAGCTAGCGAGGGACCTCGCCTTCATCCGTTGAGCAACGAACAACAGCGACCAGGACAAAAGTTCCTCTCCTGGCGGGCAGACCTGAGGAGGAGACAGCAGGGACAGAAAGCACGATGGGTAGGAGCAACCTAATTTTGATAGTCATGAGGAAGGTAAAGGAAACCAAGCAGGAGGATGCGAAAGGAGTGACTGAGCACCTGGAACTTTCAAAGGAGAGGTCAGGGAGGGGGCTTCCTGGAGGCGGTAACCTTTGAATTGAGCCTCGGGCAGAGCTGGGGGAAAAGTGTTCTTGGTCCAGAGGGTGGTAGGAAATGTCACGGATGCATTTTGGGCGTGGAGTCCCAATACTCAGGGGACAGCCCTCGCCGAGTGGGCAGGCTGGGTGGAGACTGAGGCGGACCAGACAGCCAGGATGGTGGGAGCTGGAGATAAGGGCTAGGAAGGAAGTTCACCAGCAGGTGGAGCAGGGAGGGCCTCCTGGAGGCGGCGGGCTGCAAGCTCAGTCCTGCGTGTTCTCAGGCATCTCAGAAGGCCTGGCTGCGTGGCCCTGGGGCCTCGGATCCTGCCTCAGTGGTGGGAAGGCCCCCAGAGCCAGCAGGCTGGGCCCGTGTTTCAGCCCGTCCCTCCCTGCCCTCTACCCCCCAAGGGTGCTCGGAGATGTCATTTCTCCAGCCCTCCGGGGCAGAGGTCACCCCAGCTCGGCAGATAACGCTGGGAGTTGAGCAATGCCTGCTTGCCCGCCAGGGCCGGGGCTGGGGTCAGTGGGCCGGGGGTCAGCCCCAGGCAGGCTGCTGGGAGCTCTTGCCTGGGCCTGAGCACCCGAGGGGTGGGCCCAAGGAGCGGTTCAAATGGCCTAGGAATGGGGCTGGAGCAGTGGTCGGCAAACTCATTAGCCAAATACCAACAGTGCAACGATTGAAATTTCTTTTGAGAGCCACATTTTTTTTTTTTTAAAACTTAAAACCATATAGGTAGGTACGTTGTTATTAACTTAATTAGGGTATTCCTAAGCTGGCCTTGGCTAAAAATTCAAGGGGCCAAAGAGCCGCATGTGGCTCACGAGCTGCAGTTTGCTGACCACTGACTGGGCTGGAGAGGGCAAGGGGCTGCTTGAGCCCACTCATACACATTTAAGTCTGGGATGGACCATCCGTTTTGTCCCCCCGTGAACCAGGGGCAGTAGGAGCCTCCTCCCGGGCAGGGTGAAAGAGTGAACCCCGGGTCCAGGCCCACCTGCAGTGCACGGTAGGGACTTGGCAAATATGGGGGAAGTCCCTTCTCTCTCCTGCCTGGTCCCCAGGGTGCCTGGCTTGACCTCCTCCCCACCAGCCTCAGACGCAGGCTTTGTGGCCTTGGGTGGGCAAACAGGTCTCAGTGCACTCAGATAAGGGCTATCCTTTCCAGACTAATGGGGAACACGAGGCCGTGTGACCCTGGGTGCGCGAGGCCCCTCTGGACCCCTAGTACTCCCTGGGAGAGGCCCTTCTTCCTGATATGCATCCCCAAGTGGACTTAAACTAAGCGTCTGTGGTGGAGACAGTTATACAACTAATAGCGGGAAGGACACCTTCATGGACCCTCAAGAGAAGTGGAGTTGCCGGCACCGGTTTGGCTCAGTGGTAGAGCGTCGGTCTGCGGACTGAAAGGTCCCGGGTTCTATTCCGGTCAAGGGCATGTACCTTGGTTGCGGGCACATCCCCAGTAGGGGGTGTGCAAGAGGCAGCTGGTCGATGATTCTCTCTCATCGACGTTTCTAGCTCTCTATCCTCTCTTCCTCTCTGTGAAAAATCAATAAAAATATATTTAGAAAAAAAAAAAAGAGAGAAGTGGAGTGATTTGTCCAAGGTCACACCGTGTGGCAGAACCCAGCACTCTGTCCCTTTCCACCTTCCTTGGGGCCCAGGCCAGGTTGGGGTGGGGCTGGAGAAGACCCAGGTGTGGCAGGTGAGGCTACGGGAGGGGAGCGGCCTAACACCCCCCCACCCCCTTCTCCCGCAGAGGCCCAGTGGAGCGCCCTCCCTGACCTCCTTCCCCTCCAGCCCCCTGACCCCCCATTGGACGTGGCTTAGAGGGGAGTCACCACAGGAGTGGAATCTTTTCCTTCCAAGAACTGGGCACGGGGGCAAGTGTAGGGGCAGAGCCGCGTCCGTCCGAGGAGGAGGAGAGGAGCTGCTCACCTCTCCAGGAGGCAGAGCTGGGGTGGAGGTCTCCAGGCTCCGGCCTGGGGAGGAGGAGGAGGACCTTCTCTGTGGGGCGTCGGGGCCGGGCGCCGCTGACCCTGAAGCCGCCGCCGCCGCCGGCGCCTTGTCCAGCAGGGGGCGGGCCGCCGCCGCGTTTCGGGTGGGGTAAGCCGATCGCGTGGCCCCCTCCCGGGTCCCCTCCCACTTTCAGGACGGCCTCCGAGCCCGGAGGGGGCGGGCCGGGGGCGGGGTCGCGCCGCCCCTTCTCGCTCCCAATCCCAGGTCAGCCCGGTGGGAGGAGGGGGGGAATGGGCAGGGGGCGCGAGGCCGCCCCCTCCGGGGCTGGGGGACCCCCGGAGCGTGCGCTCCCCGCTTTCCGTCCGGCCGCCCTCTTCGCGGGGGTCTCGTGCGGCCGCGGCGGGGCCGGGGCCCGGCGGCCGCGGGGGCCGCGGGAGGGGCCGGGGCGGCCGCCAGTGACGCACCGTTGCCATGCGCCGCCTTGGCCGCCTTATAAATAAGCGGCTCGGGAGAAACTTTAGCGAGTCCGAGCCGCGCACGGGACCGGGAAGGGGACCTGCCACAGGGTCCGGCACCAGCCCCCGCACTGGTAGCAGCCACCCCGGCGGCAGTAGCAGCAGCAGCGGTAGCGGCAGCGGCAGCAGCAGCAGCGAAGCGGCCCCGCAGCGGCCCCGGTTCGCAGCGCGGAGGCCGCGCCACCTGCGGGCCGGCCGGAGCGGGCAGCCCCGAGCCGCCTCCCCCCCCGCCCCCGGGCACCCGCGTTCATGCAACGCCTGGTGGCCTGGGACCCAGCATGTCTCCCCCTGCCGCCGCCGCCCCCTGCCTTTAAATCCATGGAAGTGGCCAACTTCTACTACGAGGCGGACTGCTTGGCTGCTGCGTACGGCGGCAAGGCGGCCCCCGCGGCGCCCCCCGCGGCCAGAGCCGGGCCGCGCGCCCCCGCCGCCGGCGAGCTGGGCAGCATCGGAGACCACGAGCGCGCCATCGACTTCAGCCCGTACCTGGAGCCGCTGGGCGCGCCGCAGGCCCCGGCGGCGCCGGCCCCGGCCGCGGACACCTTCGAGGCGGCTCCTCCCGCGCCCGCCCCCGCGCCCGCCTCCTCCGGGCAGCACCACGACTTCCTCTCCGACCTCTTCTCCGACGACTACGGGGGCAAGAACTGCAAGAAGGCGGCCGAGTACGGCTACGTGAGCCTGGGGCGCCTGGGGGCCGCCAAAGGCGCGCTGCACCCCAGCTGCTTCGCGCCGCTGCACCCGCCGCCGCCGCCGCCGCCGCAGCCCTCCGAGCTCAAGGCGGAGCCGGGCTTCGAGCCCGCGGACTGCAAGCGGAAGGAGGAGGCCGGGGCGCCGGGCGGCGGCGGCGCAGGCATGGCGGCCGGCTTCCCGTACGCGCTGCGCGCCTACCTCGGCTACCAGGCCGTGCCGAGCGGCAGCAGCGGGAGCCTGTCCACGTCCTCGTCGTCCAGCCCGCCCGGCACGCCGAGCCCCGCCGACGCCAAGGCCCCCCCTGCCGCCTGCTACGGGGGCGCGGCGCCGGCGCCCTCGCAGGCCAAGAGCAAGGCCAAGAAGACGGTGGACAAGCACAGCGACGAGTACAAGATCCGGCGCGAGCGCAACAACATCGCGGTGCGCAAGAGCCGCGACAAGGCCAAGATGCGCAACCTGGAGACGCAGCACAAGGTGCTGGAGCTCACGGCCGAGAACGAGCGGCTGCAGAAGAAGGTGGAGCAGCTGTCCCGCGAGCTCAGCACCCTGCGGAACTTGTTCAAGCAGCTGCCCGAGCCCTTACTCGCCTCCTCCGGCCACTGCTAGCGCGGCCCCCCGCGCGCGCGCCCCCCTGCCGGCCGGCCTCGGCGCTGCTGCCGGGCGGGCGCGCGGCGGCCGAGACTCCGGGGAGCGCCCGCGCCGCCCCCGCCCCCGCCCGGCCCGCGGTGGCGCCGGCAGAACTTTGGCACCGGGGCCCTTGGCAGCGCGGGGAGCTCGTCGGTAACTTTAATATTTTATTATATATATATATAAATATATCTATATTTTTGTCCAAGCCAGCGGCACATGCAGACGGGCGCCCGCCCGTGATATTTAAAAGAAGAAGAGTGCCTGTGTGTACAGTTGAATGATAAACTCTGGCTCTCCCTCCGCTCCGGGTCCGGGCGGGCGCCGGCGGGCGGGCGGGCGGGCCGGTCGGTCTCGGAGTTGATGCAATCGGCTTAAACATGGCTGAGCGCGTGTGTACACGGGACTGACGCAACCCACGTGTAACTGTCAGCCGGGCCCTGAGTAATCGCTTAAAGATGTTCCATCGAGCTGTTGCTGTTGATGTTTTTGTTTTTTTGGTCTTTTTTTGTATTATAAAAAAAAATAATCTATTTCTATGAGAAAAAAGGCGTCTGTATATTTGGGAATTTTTTCCTTTTCAAGCATTAAGATCACTTTTAATAAACTTTTTTTTTTTTGAGAATAGTGTAAAAAGCCTTTTGGGAGCAGTAGTTGGCTTTTGCTCCCCCCCCCCCCCTTCATTTTGGATCTCTATGGTTTTATTTTTGCTTTACGGGCTGGTGTGTGTGCGGGGGGGCGGTGCATGGGGGCTGCTAATATTTTTGGCTTTTTTTGCGGTTGGGTGGGGGTGTTGCAGCTGGTTTTTCTTCTCTGCTACTCCCCCTCCTCCATGGTCTGCTTGGAGATGCAGGTACCAGAACTGGGGGGGTGGAGGGGGAGGGAAGAGCAGAAGAGTGCTGCTGGGTCAGGCTTTCAGGGTGACTCAGGGCCCCTGGGTGCTGGGGAGGAATGACTGGGAACGCCGTTTGGGGAGGGGGTCCAGGGTCTCTGGCAGGTCCTGAATTCTAGGTTTGGAGGGACCTGGAGGTCTGTGTCCCCTGCGCAGTGTTTAGGACCTGTGATTGCAGGAGGAGGGGCCACAGGTCTTGGTCCTGCTGAGCCCAAGTTGGGACAGATTCTCTGGGTAAGTGTAATGGGTTGGGCTGTTTAAAAAAAACAAAAAAACAACTGTGCGTTTATGTATTTTAAGAGAGGAGCCTGGATGTGTGGGCGAGCTTGTGTTGTGTGTCCCTGGCCCGTTTGGGTGTCCCTGTCTGGCAGGAGGGGAGAAGCCCGGCCAGAGGGAGGGAGGCGGGGGCGGGGGGGGGGGGGGGAGAAGGGTTCCTGCACTCCCACTCCCTCTCCTGGGAACGGGAGGTTTACCCCTGCCCTCAGCCCAGGTGTGGGCACTGAGGCCCACCTCACCTGCTTGCTCAAGGTGGCTGAGCCTGGATTTGAACTTGTGGCCCCTGTTCTTGATTCCCTGGGACAGAAACAGCCCCTGGCAAGGCTTCCTCATCCCTGCCCTCTGATAGCCTCCCTCCTCCTTTCGCTGCACCCACACCCCCATTCCAGCCCCGGACAGCATTCCTGAGAGTTGAGGATGTAGACAGAGGGGTTAGTGGATACACGTACGGCGTCCTGCGGTGCCTGGCACGCAGGAGGTGTTATATAAGCCTTTGCTCTTGTTATTATTTTTCACCAGGAGGCTCTTGGCGTTTGGCACCCCAGTCTGCATTGCAGTGAGTGTGCCGAGCCCTTGCCAAGGGCCAGGCGTCCGGTAAACCCTGGACTTGCCCCGTTTCATTTCAACTTCACAACCTCTGGAGAGTTAGGTACTCTTGTGGGGCCTGTTTTCAGAGCAGTTTTTGACTGTCAAATCCCTGCAGGTAAGAAAGTGGGTTGGGGTTTCCCCTGCCCTAGGAACTCAGCAGTGGGGTGTGAGTGTGTGTGAAATGGGGGGTCCATATATTATTTTGCCAAGGGCCTGGGGCAGCCTGGGGGTTTGGGGAGCAGCTGTTGATACTGTGTTTTGAGGACAGCAGGATGCTTTTCCCCTCCCTCTTTGGGAGCCTGGGACGTGGGGGACAGACACACTCAGCCCCCGCTGTTATGGAGCTGAGGATCCAGGCAATCTCCCTGATGCTCATGTCCCCTGTGTGTGGCATGATGGCTGTGCTGAGTGCTGGGCAGAGGTCATCTCACTCGGGGCCTGGGCCTCCAGCCTGGCTCTGGACTCCACGCAGCCCTGGGTGGCCAGCTGACTGGCCAGGAAGGACCCTGGAGCCTCCAATCCAGTCCAGAACCAACAACAGCACATCTGCTCAACTATCGCTGGGATTTACCTGCCGGAGGGCCGAGGCCAGGGCTATGGACCTGGGGGAGGCGGTGGCTCAGTCTTTGGGGGAAAAGGGGTGTCACAACTCAGGAACGAATCTCTCCAATCCCTGCTCTCCCCTTTGTCACTGTGGGCAGCTGGTGGCTGCTGCTCACCCATTCTGCAGAGGACACACAGGAGGCCAGGAGGGAGCAGCGTGGTCAACAGTGACACCCAGCTCCCCTTTCACCCACGGCCAGCCTGGACACTCATGTCCTGCTTTGATCTACATAACATCCCGTGGAAGGCATTACACCCATCTTACAGAAGTAAACTGAGGCCCACAGAGATGGTATCAGTGCTCACGGAGGAACCAGTGATACGATCCCGGGTGTCTGGGGAAAGCTCGGGCTGGGATCTGGCGTGTCATTTCAGGCCCCTGCCCTGAGTCCCGGGCCCTCCCTGGAAGGCGCCTGGCCTGGCCCCGAACGCAGGCACCCCAAGCACCATGGTTCAGTGACTTGCACACGGTTTCACAGTTTGGAAGCAACAGATAAGGGGATTCGAACCTGAGCCCGTCTGCTCCAGAAGAGAAGGGCTGGGACACATAGTTACCAGGTGGAGGGCTCTGAGGTGGGAGCATGGTGGACAGAGCTGTGCCCAAAGGACTTCAGGAAATGTCACAGATTGGGGGATACCTGCCCCGTGGATCCCTGGGCTCGGAGGGCTAAAGGCTTGCAGGGAAGAGGGACCAGATCATTCAAAAGCCAGGCAACAAGAGAGAATAGAGCCTGACCAGTGTGGCTCAGTTGGTTGAAGTGTCCCATACACCCCCCGCTCCTCCTCTCTCTCTCCTACCCCCCAAGAGAAGAAGATTAGATGGGTGAAGCAAAAGGATACCTATCCTCTGTCTCCCATATACATTGTCGTCTCCATCTCAGTCACCACATGTCCCCAGAGCCCAGCATCGGTCCTGCGCACAGTAGGTGCTCAAAATGCTCAGGAGGAGGCTAGGGACAAGTTAGGACTCATCGTGGAAGCAAGTTCAGTGCTTACAGTGTGCAGAGCACCCCTCCCAGGCGGCATCCTTGCATCTGTCCAAGAAGGCCAGCCATGGCCATCGTAACCACAGACCCATTCATGGGGCTGACCACTGAGGCTGGCTGGGAAGCCCAGCCAGTGTTTGCTCAGGACGGGAGAGGTGACAAACACATTCACACCTCATCATCTTATGCAATTGCCCCCTGGCCTAGTGATCTTAACCAAGGAGAAAAGTGGGTGTCAGAAAGGAAAGCTGGAGACTCTGCCGGCTGCCAGGCCAGGTGCTCGGAGCGTGCTGTCAGTGTAACCAGGCTCCCAGAGCCTGTGACTTTGCTGCTCTGTGCCTCGGTTTCCCCAACTACGGAAGGGGGATGATGAGCAGCTCCGATGTCAGTGTGAGGACAAAGGCACATAAAGCATGCACAACGGCACCTGGTGAGGAGGGAGTGCTCAGTCAGCTAGGCTCTCCCCTCTTCACACCTCACCTCCTGAGGTGGGCTTGGACACAGTTATTTTTGTGATACAGGCCTCTGGGGGAGTAGCAGGGGGTGGCTGGGAAGGGTTTTGGAGAGCATTCTGGGCCGAAGGATCCGCTTTGCTACTGGCGTTTTTCTGCCAACAGCAAACAGGCTCTGAGAGGGGCAGCGAGCTGTCCAAGGCCGCACAGCTAAGAATGGTGGAAGCGGAGTAGGAAAGAAGGTGGACTTTAGATGGAGTTTAGTCTCCATGGAAACACCTAACAAATGCTCCCCGCCTCTCTAGACCGCCCTGGGACTGTTTTATCCCCGTCTCTAAGACATTTACTTGTCCAGCTGTTTTTTCCCCTCCATTTGATCAGTAAGCATGTTGAGCACCCACTATGCGCAGAACCGATGCTAGACTCTGGGGACATGGGGCGACTGAGATGGAGGCGACAGTTTAAAGGGGGAGACAGAGACTAGGTATCCGGTACCAGGAACAAGAAAATGACAGGTGGAAACGAGGGCTCGGAAGGAAGGAAGGAAAGTGGGGCAGGGAGGGGTGGGAGGTCCGGGGAGGCCTGAACTAGGAGGTGGCGGCTGGCAGGTGCCTGGTGGAGGTGAGGTGTGAAGGCGGGAGAGCCTTGCTGACGGAGCGTTCCCTCCTCACCAGGTGCCATTGTGCATGTATTAGTGCCTTTATCCTCACACTGACATCGGTGCTGCTCATCATCCCCCTTCCCTAGTGGGGAAACCGAGGCACAGAGCAGCGAAGTCTCTGGCCCAACAGCTGGTGAACGAGGGGCTGATGTGAGATTTGAATTCACACATTATATTTGGACCTGAGAGGCCTTTGTTTCCGGCTTCCCCACCATAACCCTAAACCTCTCATTTGCTCTGTTTTTCTGCCCTCTCTCCCCCCCGCCCCCGTCCCACCCCACTTTATCCTTTTTTACCTTGGCTGACCTCCTGCGTGACTCGTGGGAGAGTCCCAGGGGCCCCAGCTGGCCATCTGCCCCGCACTGGGGCGTTTCAACCTTGCATTGACTGGCCATGGACCGGGCAGAGAGGGCGGCCGGGGTGGGCTGGGAACGGGGTGGGGGGCGCTGAGGCTCCAGATGGTTGGCATTTGAGCCCCTCCCGGGTGTCCCCCGAAACCTGGAGGTGGCAGCCCTATTTCA